ATAACCTATAACGATATTATGGATTGGCCATCCAAAATAACTTAGAATGCGTAGAAAGTTTGAACCAAGCAATGTGGGCTACTTATTACCAGAAGTTGTCGACGGACGAAGAACCGCGCCATGGCCTTTCTTCTATAGGAAGTAAGTCTTGGCGCAAATACAAGAAAGCTGAGCCAAACAAAGAATTAGAGGAATTCAAACACAATAATTTACGTCACACAACATTTGTAAGTATCATGGAATAAAATTGTTAAACAAATATTTTCATCTTTATGGCAGAACATGCGGTGATCCCCTACAATATCATTAAAAACCCTGTAAAAAAGAGTTTAAGAGAAATGACTTTACCCCACTTATCCAGACCTAAAGGTATTGAGGTGAACCTCGTACCAGGGAAAGCATTATGCTCAACCTGTAATAAGAAACTTTTTAAGCTTACAGACAAAGAAGACGAAGATACATAGAAGACAAAGAATACAAAGAAGACAACTGTCCTTTAGACGATCCAAAATTTGTGAATCCAGAAACCATTCATGTAGGTCAGACTTGTTCCACTTTAGATGTTTCACCAGCCTGAAAAATTAGAAAATTAAGTCCAACAAAAGACCTAGTGTCAACAAAGCCAAAGGAGGTAAAATATCTGACACTTTAAAAAGGAAATTGTATGCAAATCTAGACGAAACCATGCATGTTTAGCTGATCCTTTACCAATTCAGAATGAAAATCAATTTGACTGTAATGTATGTGAGTAGCTAATAACTAAGTTGAAAGAAAAATGTCAACTTTCCAACAAAGTAGAAACAAATTTAAAAAAATAGTTTATTACCACCTTTATGGTCAAGGAACAAAATAAGCCAAGAACTTAAGTTTCTGAACGTCTTGTCAAACTTACAAGATACATAACAAAAAAGCAAAGTATTATGCCTGACTTGTCACAGAGAAAAGGTAGTTTAAGCACCAAAACATCAAGCTTATGAAAGACGGAACTAAATTTAATGTTGATTACAAAGATTTGATAGAAGCATTAGCGTGTGGTGTAAATAAGTATGGATGTATGAGGGGTGAATGAGAGGTATGTGGAGATGAAAATGCACTTGTAAACACATTTTTATAGTCGAGTGAAATAATTAAATGCCTGATGATATCGTATACAAGCAATGGGTTACTGTTGACCGTGCAGAGACGATCACAGTGGCAAAGCCTCAAGAAACGTTTCTAGAATCACTCATAGGGAAAGAACAGTCCACCACTATGTTTCAAATATACACCCAGTCTCAAGTAAAGACATTAAAAGTACTCTAACCAAGGAAGAATGTGTTGTTGTAGGTGACTTCTCTGAAAATGTTAGTTTTATTGTACAAGATAAGATCCGGAGTTTTTACAGGATTCAACAACTGGATTAACAAAAGGCTACCGTAAACCTTTTTGTGTATTTATTATATTGATGAAGACTCTGGACTGGAAAATACCATAGCCTTTGCAACATAAGCAACCATCTGCAGCACAACACTGCAGTAGTCCATACTTTTCAAAAATACCTTATTGAAGGAGGACATAATAAATTATGTTCCGGCCATAAAAAAGATAATATATTTCACTGATGGAACAGCCAGTACAAAAATAAAAACTTTTTTTATCTATGCTGCCGTGAAAATAATTTTGGAACTCCAACTGAGTGACAAATTTTTCTACTGAGCACGGAAAAATGCCTGCTAAGGTGTAGGTGGCACTACAAAGAGCAAAGTGAATAAAATGACTCTTTTTACTCTCCGTAAAAAATACTATTTTGTTAAAAAAACCTTACATGTATTCAATACTTTTATGTAGACAGTAAGGAAGTAGCAACAAATATATTAGAACTACAAGTTAGATTCAAAGGATGTCTACCAATTACTGGAAAACGATCCGTTCACACATCTGTACCGTACAACTTATTACACAAAATCTATACACATTCTATATCCTATACACAAAATCTTATTACACATTGTACAGTCAACTTACGCATCCGTACACTATGTCATTAAACTTGATTCATTTTATACCGAATACGTTCAAATGGCAAATCTTACAGATAACTGAATGTTGAAGGTTTATTCATCATTTAAGCTCTAAATCAATTAAGGAAATCGGAAATATCCTCTTAGGATGTATTTCGTTTAAAGCTTTCTACTCGTGCGATCCACATTAATTCCATACTAGTGTACATGTTGCTCGAATTCGAGCGCAATTGCAAAGTAAGACGAATGACTTATGACTTATTACAGGAGTTATTTCAAAACGAATAACAGTCATATTTACAATGAGTTTTAAAGAGTCAACTCAAAGATTACCGGTGTGTAACTCAGACCATGTTTATCTTCGTTATTGATAAACCTAAAGCATTCCGGCCGGTTTTCTCCTTCTCAAAATGCCTCGCTGTACAGGCAACACAGGTCATTGATAGAGGGCCAATTGAGATCGAAAAGTCGTTTTGGGATAGTGTTAGGGCGCATTTTTAACCTAATAGTTGAGATTGTCCAGGGTCAGGTGCTGACTGTGATGAGGCCTATTAAGCGCCACTGTTCTGTAGCTGCGGTCGTTATCACGATTACACCTCCTGTCTATGGTTCGTTGTCGTCGCGTCGGAGGCATTTAAAAGAAAGAAAAAAACAACAAATAAACAAATTATAGCTACACAAAACAACGATAAATGCACAAATTTAACTAACACTCATGCTAACACGGTCCATCATAGCGACACAAAACAACGATAAATACACAAATTTAAGATACAACCATAATAACACGATCCGTCTTGGGGTTATGTTTACACAAACTCAAATAGTAAATAAATGTACTCAATGCGTTTCATTGAATTGGAAAAAAATAACAGCAATTAAATTATACAGCTGATCAAAATGTAAACAATTATGTTCTTCATAAGGATAACATGGGAACTTTCAAAGCCACTCGGGCAGAGCCCAAGGAACTTTTTCAAAAATGTAAGGCCAGTTTGCAAATCTACGCGACACGCTCTTTCCAATGAGGCGTCAATGGATAAAATCGGTTAAGAAATGGCGGAGGAGTTCAACCGACAAAGTTTCATGTAGCGTATTAATTATATAGATGTGTCAACTTCTACTCCATATTTTTCAAGTGAATTATTGTTTCATTCATTCTTGGTAGACTGATATTACCGTCATAAGGGTTGAGGAAAGAATAAATTATTATTGAAAGAATAAACAGAAATAACAGATAACACGCCTTGTGTTTTCGAAGCACGAACAGAATGAGTATTGGTTGTCAAAATAGTGATGTTCTAGGTCTTTTCTAGAGAACTAACCGGTTATAATTTTATCTAAATTCACAGATAATGATTTAAGACAACTTAAAATCTTTACTTTTACCAACAAGTCATAAGATTCATAGTCGAACGATACCATAGAAAGACGGAATCGAAATAGAAAATGCGATGTAATTTTGCAATCATCAGCATGACCAAGCATTTGCGGTCTTGTGAAACGGTGAGTCACAAAATTACATCTCAATGAGTCTGGGTCCGATTCACTAAGGTCAAGAAACTGCAAGTCATTATTCGGTGGAAACTGGAACCAGAATAACCAGTATGCGTTACCTGAGGCCTCTGCAGACACTACTATAATCATAGATTCAAGAAGTATACTACTGCCTATGTTAAAATGTTTGTACAGGTGTATTTGGTACGGGTATAAGCTACAACTATCACCTATGGACGTTAAACTCGTCCCCGGATTGCCTTTAGTTATTAACAAATCTGGTAGAATTGTGTAGAATTCAATGTATTCAAAACCTTACTGCTATAATATTTTAGGATAGGATTGTTAAAAGTTTGGACTATCGCTATGGCTTTCGGTTATAAGAAACGTGTACAATCCAAAAAAAACTTAGCACAGAGAACCTACAGACTCCGAAGGCTGGAATTTATTTTAAAAATCGACAACCTACTATCAGTAAACTATTGGAAATACAGAGAAGACAGAATTTATAAAATAACCCTATTTGAAAACTCTAGCTCGGAAATCGATTGAGTAAATTAATTTTGTTTCGTGGGATACCCACAAAGATACCTATAGATAGGCTTTAAAATTTTAAAATCATGGCATGTAGCATATCAATCAATCCTTTTAACTTTGTGCAATGATTGGAAAATCGGTTAAAAGCAACCCGAGACTGAGTTAACAATTATGTTTTTAGCTAGGATTTGTGTTTTTGAATTAGCTGTAAAACAGATTCTTTACGATTTCATTATTTCTGTTGATTTTATACTAGGCGACAATTTAGTTATAACAGTAACATTTGTAAACTGAAATAGACCATCTATAATACATCTTCATGAACCGGCTTTAGCTATATTTTGTTCAGGAATAAAAAAACATAGTTGAACGAGCCACTCATAACCACGATCAACATGTAGTTTTCTCAATTAATTTTGTATACTTTGCTAGTTTAATATGGGAAAATATGCTATGGTATGCAATGAGGAATCGCTATAGCTAATTAGCATTTTCAAAAATATAAAATTTGATCTAACTATATTTCAACATAACTTACTACTACAACTAAAATACATATTTTCAAAGAGGATGAAAGCAACGATAACTATGTTACGAATAAAAATTGTAAACGTAGTAAGATTTTAAGGGATGATGAATCCACATGTAATAAATTATAAATCTATAAAATAAAGAAGTATAAAAATGTTTATTGTACTAATTATTTTCCAACCAAACCTTCTTGTCCTAATATTAAAGAAAATGTTGAAAGTAACCACTATATTGTAGTAACAACCTTACAGAACGCTAAGAATAACCTAAAAAGTAAGGCTTAGCTTTAAACATGAAGCTCTTCGCAATTCTTGTCCAAAACAAGAGTGGCCTTGCTGAAGAGGAGGATCGTCTGGCCTTGGCCTTGTGGTAATAACAGATGTAGGTGGCCGAAGATTGTAGACGGCGTGGAGGGGAGGTGATGTAAGAGCTGCAAGCTGCTGCTGTCAGATGACTACAACTCCAAACTCAACAGTCACCTGTCTACTCGCCAAGATCAAGGACCGGAACATCTGACAAGTAAGTAAACATTTGTGTATACTCAGATCGCAGATTCACCAGGCTACTCATTGTATCACTTTTTGTAACGGGATATGATTTTTAACACCTTGCCGCAATAACCTAAACCTACATCTAAATACATTGCAACAGTTTTTGATCACTGCCAGGTCGCGAAAACTTCGTTTAAAATAATATATTTGTATGTATGTATACAGGAAGAATCACGTAAGGTGTCTACTATTCTTTCCACTAGCCTTTAAAAGATTCTTGTCTGTTTTTATTTTATTTTATAGATTTAACCCTTACATTTGTTTAGTATAATAATTTAAACTAGTGGATTGTAGGGACACAAGTCCCTAAAAAGCTCAATAATATAAAACAAATAATTCTAATAGTGAAACAATCTAAGAAATATATAACCTATGTGTCAGAATCCCCCTGTACACCATATCTTTTGTGTAAAAAAGTTTGTTGTTTGTCTTTGATAATGTTATTTTCATTAAATCAATAAACCATTCGAATCACTACATAGGTTTAACTCTTCTAAAGGCAGCAAACATATAATTGTTTGTGAATAAATAGTGGTTTATTGCGGTAGCTTTGGTCTCGTGGTTAATGGTGATAAAAAAAGACTTCTCTGATTGGAATTATTTAAGAAATTGTCTTCATCAAATATGAAAAGGCAAATAAAGGTGTGTTGAGGTAAGCTTAGTTCTTGGCCAAACCCGCTAAATAGGCATCTCTACCCAGTTTATATTTCTAAGTTTATACTCCTTTTGTTAAGGTTCAACAACATTAGTGTAAAGTAAAGGCATCCCATTGACAAAACTTAACCCTAGATTGTTTTCTGATCAACAAACAAAAACTACAATTAGTGTAAGTTTAGGTGGTGGTATACCCTAAAAATGGTGGTGGTATATTCTATCAAATTAGGCTTAATCATCGACTGACTCCTAACTCTTTTGAGAGCAACAAACAGAGCCTGTTTAAAATCTCTAAACAAACATTGTTTTTCTTCCCATTGGAACTTGTCATAGTACTTACTTAATAATTAACAAATATATATTTCCTGTACGAACCTATTCCATCTTTATTCCTAGGTTGTTTTCCAAGAGTAGTCGTTGAGGTTATTCCACTTCATAAACAATATTGATTAAACACTACAATAAATCTAAAATTTAAAAAATAAAGAAAGTTTAGGATAAATCTATAACATATGTTTTGAAATAAAAACCAAGCAGAAGTTTTGCATTTAATATTGAATCGTTAATTATTTAGTCTATGTGGTTATTTGTATAAAACCAAACATTAGAATCGGTTGAAAACACACACGAGTAGGAGTTTTTATCTACAAAATAATCCCGTCAAAATTGATCTTTATACAGACCTGGCAGTTCTATTTCTGTTTGTTTACATAGAAATGTCAAAGGAAACGTAAAAATTATGAGTTTGCTCGTTGTTTTCATGGAGACCAATCAATATTTACTTTTATAACTATCACCTCAGAACTTTGAAAATCCTCGGGGGCAATGTCGAAGCAGGAATAGTTAATACAAATCCTTGCAGCTGTAGCTTTATTTTTTTAAATTTATGCCCAATAGGACAGTTGTCACGGTCATTCCGACGATGATGGAGGGTGAGGACAATTGGACCTGTATGTCACATTTCGTCCAGCGTATTCTGTGTGCATAAAAGGGGTTCTACCTGTGTGGGTAAAAGCATTTTTACCTCCTCTCCCTAAAAAAAAAACCCCAGTCGGTTCAGTATTTACAAAAAAATACACACATAATACTGGGTGTCCGAAAAAAGAACTAAAACATTTAAAAGGCAAATACTGATACCAAACAAGAGACTATGTTGAATGTTTTATGTATGTATTTAAAGCTTAAATTCTCAAGTTTTATTAGAAACTTAGTATAACTCGATATTAGCACCCTTAGTGGCCCGGCATAAATTTAAGTGAAATTTGACCTCTTCCAAGGTTTTGGGCAGTACTTCAGGGGATATAAACGGTGCCATTTAATGTGACATGTTAGATGAGTATCTTTTCCCATAGTTGGTTGACATTGAGATGGGGAATGGCCCTGTTTATTTTAAACAGGATGGAGTGCCGCCACACTACAGTTTGCGTGTGCGAGAAGCGCTGGATACACGTTTTGACGATTGGTGGATTAGCAGGGAAGGGCCCATCCAATGCCCTTCTTGAGTCCAGGTATGACTCCTCTGGACTTTTTCCTTTGGGGGGCAGTGAATAATAATATCAACTCGGTGCAGATTCGGGATCTGAATCACCTCCGACAGAGAATAGTCGCATGTGTTGGTACAACATCCCTTGAAGTACTGACCAATACCTGGGAAGAGGTCAAATTTCACTTGGATTTATGCCAGGCCACTAATGGTGCTCATATCGAGTTATACTAAGTTTCTAATTTGAGAATTTAAGCTTTAAATACATATATAAAACATTCAACATAGTCTCTTATTTGGTATCAGTATTTTCCTTTGAAATGGTTCAGTTCTTTTTCGGACACCCGGTATAATATTTCCTTCATAATATCCTATATATATTAAAACGTGACGAGATTTTTTTATTTCACGATTCTGCATCAACCACTTGACGGATTTTCATGATTTTTGTGTTAAAAGAAAGATAATTTTGAGAACTAGGGAATGTCGAAGCCATAACTTTGGTTTAGGGTTTCCGTTTTTTTGAGACTAAGTTTTAAATTTTAAAAAAGTCCAGCAGCCGACGCTAACATTCTAACTCTAGCTTTTGGTACAATACCATTTGCTTAACGTAACAGCTGTAAACATTCAGCATTTTCGACACAAATTCAGCTTTTGGAAAAAAAATGAAATGACATACGTAGAATTTACCTTTTTTATACTACGTGTAATGCTATAATCATTGATACGTTGATTTAATAGGTAAGATGATGAGAGTTTATTTAAATATAGATAGTAAAATACTATTACTATATTGCAATACTATATATATGCAAATACTATATTAAAAGAAAATGTTGCCATAAAAGATGATGTTGTCAACCCGGCAGACAGTCTTATGACCGTTGCTGTAAAGTGCTATTTTTAGTAAAATTTGTTCTTTCTTGTTATGCAGAAGATTATGTTTAGTTATAAGTTGTATGTATATTGCAGTTTATTTTAGTGTTAATAAAGCACTTTTTTAATTTAATTTCATAGTAAAATACTAGATGTTACAATTTATTACTTTGAGCAGTCTTTAAAATATTTAGTTTGTTTTAGTGAAATATAATAATTTGTCATAACTAACAGCTGGTTGAATAAAAAATATTCTATAGAACTATGAGGTTAGTTTATTTACTCTGTGATTTTGTCATTGATCATAGCAAATAAGTAAGATTCTATAACCATTGCTGAATACGAATCGAAGCTTACGAATCTTCAAAAGAAAGCTTATGAAACTTATTTTACTACTCGACTTTTTGAGGAAAGGTTGGGAAAATAACAATGATCACATGTTTTAATTCATCTTGGAAGCTTTTTCTTTACTATAAATTTTGAACTGCCTAAACTATATCTTGAATTAGTAGTAGACATACTTTATACAGTTTTAATGGACTATTCGATTCCCGTACGTAGGAAGGGCCAACAGCTCGTTATGTATTAATATAATTTGGCAAATTATTTATTTCATCCAATACTATTGATATTTTACCAAAAATACTTTTTGCGAATTTCCCATTTAAGGAATAAACTACTACCGTAGGTCTCATGGTACGTCCTAGACCCGGGACCGATGTACTTTTTCATTTTGAGGTCCCCAGACGCAAATACACAATCCGTTCAAATTTATAAAAAATATGTGTGTCCGTTAGCGCGATAACTCGAGCAAAAATGGGCCTTTTTTATGAAATGGTGCAATCGAACCTGTTCGAAAACCAGCATGATCGGACTACGGAAACAGGGTTTTGCGGTTTTATAGGGTAAAAATTGTTGTTTTTTTCTATTTTTTTATTAAGAGCCACAACATCAAATTTTACAATTTCTTTCCAAACCATTTCGAAGAGCTTTAAAAGAAAATAAATAACTTTTTATATTGAAGCGTTGTTGTGCTTAACGTTTACGGAGATAATTTAAAAATTGTGAATTCCCATGCTATTCTTTGGGAGAATAAATAATCTGTGGTAGTTTGCTTGTTTGTGGATACATTTTTAACAAATTTGGCAATTTTGTTTATTTTATACTAAGCTATCAACATTTTAATAAAAATAACACACCTCATTCCTTCCCTGTAACAGCAAACCTAAGTACTCATTAAAATTAATGTTATTAAAATTTAAATAGGAAATCAATCTTACAATTTTAAGGGGATATTTTAGTCGAAATCCAGCCAGGTAAATGGAAATTCACTTAGTCTGCAGGTTTGTTGCGGCGGGGGTGTTTTGATTCCCCATGGTAGCAAAAGTACTCATTAGATCTAATTTATTTAATTGGGCAATACAAATTACTTGTTCAGGAAACATGTCTTTAAAACGCAATTAGACAAACAAAGTGAACTTCGCTTAGTCTACAGGTTTACTGTGGCAGTAGAGTGTTTTGAGTTGAAAATCATAGGTATTGAAAATATAAACGTAAAACACCAGTAGTATAGAAAGGGTATTTAAAACTAATTAGTTATAACATCAACGCTTGTTTTTATATTATTTAATGATTTATCTTGATTTCAGGATGATCGTGGAAGTAGTCCTTTCGTTGAGTCTCATTTTCATTGATCTATACTATTATCTTACAAAGAAATATGACTATTGGGAAAAGAAGGGTGTTGAATATATAAAGCCCGTTTTTCCGTTTGGCACTATGTGGGATCAAATGAAGGGGAAAACAGACGCTGGGACACTGCTGACAAAGAACTATACGGAAAACAAGAAGAAGGGACTGAAATATGTCGGTTTACATACGCTTCGACAACCGACACTTTTAATCTTAGATCTTGACTTAGTAAAACACATTCTCACAAAAGATTTTCATAATTTTGTTGCGAGAAACTTTACTCCAACAACTCATGAATACATCTCTAAACATTTGTTCTCATTAGAAGGGCAGGAGTGGAAAGATATGAGAACCAAACTAACACCAACATTTACATCTGGGAAAATGAAAAATATGTTTATTCTAATGGAAAAATGTACACAACAACTTCAAGATCATATTGAAAATGTCATTTTAAAGAAAGGAGAATTTGAAGTCAAAGATCTCATCGCAAGATTGACAACAGATATAATTGCTACGTGTGCTTTTGGATTGGAAGTAAACTCTATTCATGATCATGACAATGACTTTTTCAAGGTTGGGCAAAAGATTTTTCTTCCAAATAGAATGAACTTGTTTAAGTTCCTCATGCATTCAAATTTTCCAAGAATTTCAAGATTATTAAAAATAGATTTTTTTGACCCTCAAATATCCGTTCTCCTTATGACAGTTATGAAAGACACTATCGAATATCGTAAAAAAAATAACATCATAAGGAATGATTTTGTAGATTTGTTAATAAGGGTGAAAGAAAATAAATCTTTGGAAGACCATGACGAAGAATCCAAAAATGAAATGAAAGATGCTTCCAAGTTTTTAAATATTTTGAAAAATAGCTTACAAGATATAAAACACCAAGAGAAGGACCGTAAGTATACTTGACAATTATAAATCCATAACACTATTTAGACATTGACTTCAGCTTTCCTTTTGGTAACGTCGAGGCAGGGTTAACTTGCTACCTTTCAAGTGAACTTTGTGTCGATGATTTGAAGTTCACATATTAAAACAAAATATGGTAATGCATGATGTATATAATACTCCCAATCAATGGATTAATATCCTAGGATCCATATCACATTTGAAAATAATACTAACATAGAACAGAAAACATATCCCTAAGCCGGAATCTATCTATATATAAAGTTAAAAAGGATTACGAACTTTTAGAAGCCCGTAAGCCGCACGCATATGTGTCAGTGGTTTGGTTTGTTTGTTTATTGTTTACTTGATTTAATATTTTGATCCTCATTATAGATGTTTGCATTACGACAGATTTATTAGTTTTTACTTTCTCCCCTTATACCATAGTATAAGTATATAGAGAAAGTATTGTTTTCGTCAACATTTTCGAGTTTGGGTGGATATACCCGTGTTGGGTCTCCCTGGACCCAAAAAAGTGGTTTTCGAAGTGATGTGTGTGGAAGTGTGTGGACTGTTTTTAAAAGTAGACTTAAAATTAGGGACCCATATTATTATCTGAAGCATTCTTTCCGCGTCGCTAAGCTCGGGCAGAACAGTTAGTCCATAATAATACTTATAGTATTTGGAATTCGTGGTATATCTGTATTTCCCTACCTACTTTAACAATAATTAGTTTAAAACATATATTGGAACAAATTGACATCAATGTTTTTATTTTCAAGAACTTGCAAAATACTATGATATACAAAATATCAAAAGAAAATGTTACATTGCAGATCTTACTCTAGAAGAAATGACTGCCCAGGCATTTGTTTTCTTCGCAGCAGGGTTTGAAACAGCTGCGTCCACAACTAGTTTCTGTCTTTACGAGTTGGCCAAAGCTCCTGAAGTTCAAGAGAAACTCCGAAGAGAGATTGATGAAGTTTTGGCCAACCACGATGGCAAAATAACATATCAATCTATACAAGACATGCATTATATGGATATGGTAATGAATGGTAAGTTGGTCATTGACACATGCTTTTACGTCCCATATACAATACACATTATTACAATGAATAGATAGTTACTTGGGTAGTTGTTACAGGAATGTAAATGCAATCAATGTATACTTGTAGTTGTCAAAAAAAAAATATTAAAAGGATTTATTGACTAACAGTATATAGGTACATAACTTCTGGACTCTTTCCACCAAAAATATTATTTTTATAAATTTGTAATGATTACGTCTTTTTTAGGACTTTATAGTCTTATTTTAAAAATGTCAACCAAATCAGCGATGAATTGTGATACATGACCTTCTTCATTAGATTTTTTTATTCATCTATTCTACATATAAATCACAACCTTGACTGAATTACCTCATGACGTTTTTAATACATTTTTACTGTCTAGAAAGCAGTTTTTTGTAAATGTTTCGTAATCAATTCAAAATTTTTAAGAATTTTTTTTTATAGAGGTACAGCTTTTTTCCCGGTTTATAATTTAGTAATTGATCGATTGAAAGTGTGTTTTTTTAAATACCTAATTTTTGTATTTAAAATAAATATGCTTCTATTTGTTACCTATAAAAATTTATTTCAAACTAATTAGCCTAAAATACTTGGACAATTAAGTCGATAATTTTACACAACCTAAATGCAATGTAGGTGCGAAGTTGTAAACACATTTCATGCACTTAGATTACAAAGATCTCAGAATCAGTAATTAGTGTGGGTTCAGTTTAAGAAGAGACAAATCTGTTATCTTCAATCAAATTCGTGGCAAACAACTACAAATATATAAAGACCCAACCCATTTTTGCAGATATGCTCTACAACATTTCAGTCAACAAACAAAAACAAGCGGAGAATTAACCTTGAACCCCATCATTAAATCATAAAAAATACGACGTATGGAATTGGTTAATCAATCTATCTATACTATTATAAAATTGAGGTGGCGTCTGTCTGTCTGTTTGTCAGTGTGGCTGCCAAAAATACTAAACCGAAACAGCCCAAATTAAGCACAAAGCTGGTCCACATATCTAGGAATCTCATAGGCCTATTCACTTTCCTGAGTTCCTCTCGGGCTACTCTCCTTGGATGTCCAAAGTTTTGAGGTGAGGTTTTCAAAAGTAAACATGGAAGCATGAGAAAATTCACAATATTTGTTTACCTTCGCGTTGACATTTTAATGTAAACAGTCAGAACTGCTAAATAAAGCGAATTTGAAAATTTCAGACGGCTGATCCAAACAAATTGGGTAATAGCTATTTACCTTACAAGGGTAGTAAGAGCGATTTTACATCACGCAGGTGAATATTGTGCAACAAGCGGATCGAGTTGCATAATTTACCTAAGTGATGTAAACACGCTCTTGCGTAACGTGTAACGTACAAGATTTCACCTGACCTGACAATATACAGGGGGTTACGTACAATATTTTTCATTATCCATTTCACCCCGCGGCGAGCGAAATCTGGCAACGTCGCATCCGAGGCATAGTCCAGCCGGCTCCCGCCATTAGTTTGCACATATAGACGGTGCATCACGGGTGATTAACCTGTTTGTTTTACACGATTAGAGACAATATAGTATTCGTAGTGACAGTGTGTTATGCCTCATAAGCGTATCATGCCGTGATGTAAAAATAACCACCTAAAAGCATTAAAAACTGAGGAGTATATACAATTATTTCACTTCCCTTTAGAAGGTCCGCATCAAGATGAGTGGATTAGAGCTATAGCCTAAATTTAAACTTAATCAAGAACCACGTTCTGATTAAGAAAATACACATTTTCTACTTTATTAAAACTAAAGTAAAACATATTGGATAAAAAATGTAAAACTAAAATATTAATAGTAATAGCAAATATTACATATGCTAACATGTAATCTTTGGTAATAGTATGAACAAACAGTGTTTGTACCTCTTATGTATTATCAAAATGAAAAACCAATACACTATTGATACAGATAATTTGAAATATTTTAAATAGGCAAGATGTTTTCAAAGTCTTGCGCAGTTGTGTTTTGTACATTTTATTATACATGTATTGCATACATTTCCTATGCATTTAGTCAGAGGTGTAGCAATATTTCTTCTACCTTAGTACAGTTCTGCATGGACATTCAATGACAAAATTTTAAAATATATAACAGCTTTGCATATTTCGAAACTAAGTTTGAAATTATAGTATCACCCATAGATTAATAGGCAAGCGTGTTTAAAACCTTTTTTCTCAGCTTGTGTGCAACGCAGAGAAAATATACGCATACTATTATAAAGATATTTTCCTTTAGATGTGCAGAATCCCTTTATAAATGTAAATAGACAAAAAATTACATGGGCTGCCATGCTGGTGACAAAATTACAAAGAAATGAACAGAATATCAAATCAAATAAAAGAAATTCCAATAAAATGTTTAATTTACAACGTGGGTTAGTATAGATAAGTCTGAAAATTACATATTTTTGGTCGAGTTTTCGACCAATAGACGACCAGTTCATAATAAAATTAAAAATAATTATAAGGGAACCTAGGCCTATTTGTAAAAGTATATTATATTTTCATAACTCATTAGGTTCCAAAATGGTTACGTTTTTATTACAAATGTATATCGCTTGAACATATATTCAGGGTTGTAATTAAGTGGTGAATATACGTTTATATAAACATGTATTAATTAGTATTTCGTAATAACATCTGAAAAATGGTAAGCGGCATTTCGTGTTAAAAATTAATCTTTTGAACTGGCTACATTTTCATAGCTTGAAACGTGAATAAGCGCAGTTTTGGCGAAATGTTGCACGTTTTAACGTTGGCGGCAATACCCGGAGTTGGACCAGGGTGGGGATGAGTCGCGGCGTTGAAACATCGAAGGCCGCGGCCTTATTACTAGAGACAGTAACGTTCTCAATAACTAACTCAATAACTCAATAACTCATTTATTTAGCAAGATTAACATTACAAATGCATTAGCCAAGTCAAATTTACTAAAAATAACTATTAACTAACTTTTAAAATAATTAAAATTAAAATTCATTAGGACTGTCCGTCAGCGAGAAAGGCGCGGACACTGTAGTAGCCTTTACCCACGAGAAATGACCTCAAGTGCCTTTTGAAGCATCCCGGATCTGATGTGGACTTGATTTGAAGTGGGAGAGCATTGAACAGTTTGATGGCATTATAGTTTAGATGTCTTTCAAAGAATGTGGTTGAATGGGGTGGAATTCAACCACATTCCACATTGTTCTTTTACAAACAAAAGCTAGGTTTTTGCTGATTCAGCTGATTTCTAGCGTTTTTTACAACAGAACTATGTGGTAGGATTATTTATGCCATTGATTATGGAAAATTAAGTTATATTGTATATTTAAATGTGAACAATAAGACATTTATAATGTAGGTCATACTTTTTTATTAGATTTGGTGGCTCTTTGTTTACAAATTTTACTTAACAAATGTTTGTATGTTTGTATAGTACATCTTCCCGTTGCGAAGCACGGGTACAGCAGCTAGTAATTTATATAAATTTAAATCTCATTATATTTGTGCATACAATTTGGTTATGCTCCTTGTTTTCAAATAAGTTTTAAAAAATAATTATGAAAAATGACTTAATCCTTTGTAGTGAGGATTTGTTGTATTAACTATGAGCTGTATTATTGTGTAATGTACAGAGACACTGCGCCTGTATGCGTCTCTACCCTTTCTGACCAGAGTGTGCACGGAGCGTTATCAACTTCCTGGCACAGATCTAGTCATCGACGAGGGAGTCCGCATCACTATTCCCTCCTACTGCTTCCACCACGATCCTGATATCTTCCCCGATCCCTACAAGTTTGACCCGGAGCGCTTTACTGACGAGAACTGTCATAGCAGACACCATTACGCCTTTCTACCCTTCGGCGAAGGACCGAGGATTTGTATCGGTGAGCGTAAGATCATTTTAAGGCTAACTCTAATATAGTTTATGAGGCTTAGTTCAAGAAAGAATACATTATTCAATTCCAATTAATTGATTAGGATTTTACTTCATTTTATCATTCTACAGAGGATTTTAAGCTTGTGTCAGGGTTTTCCTTGAATTTATTTTGAGGGTTGGAACATTGTCACGTGTGTGGTAATCAATAACGAGGTTCGACCGTAGATTCCATCCAGCTCCTGTCACAGCCAAACGAGCTAGTATGAAAGTCGAAAGTAAAGAAATCTTTTCCCCATCCTCCCTTCTCCTTGGCTGATTATACATGTTCTTTTACAAACTTTGAATGTGCGGTTCCCCTTTATGGTCTTTTTAGAATGTGGATGCAATTTTAAGACTTATTTACTCTTGGAATTTTCGCTATAAACCTACTCATTTAGAAACTACATGATGTAATTTTTATTTAGGCTGTAACTCCTAACCGAGTGGGTTTATAGAAAAATGTCTTGAATAAAAAAGTTTTTAAAATGCATTTTCTATCCGAAAACATGATAAAATGTAGAGTGTTCCATATGTAAAAGTTGGCCGCCATATTGGAAAATGGCGGCTGAATTTAAAAAAACTAAATTCATATTTTTTACTGCCACAAAAAATAAAGGAATGTTCCCTCTTTTAAAGTTGTCTCTAATTCTTACCGGATATCCCAATGGTGGCCTCCTTGAGTTGATCACCCTGTATATTAAAACGTAACAAGGTCTTTCACGATTCTGAATCAACCACTTTACAGATTTTCATGATTTTTGTGTTGAAAGAAAGATAATTTTGAAAGGAATGGAATGTCGAAGTCATAATTTTAGTTTAGCGCTTCATTATTTTTATTTATTTATTTTTATTAAGTTGCTGGGTTTGATAATAGGTAAACATATACGGACCAGTTTAAGATAATGGAGGTTGGGATACGAAAGAACAGAGAGATAAGAGAAATGTTTATACACCCAGATGTAGGAGTGATTTCCGAAAGTAAAAGGTTCGGATAGGCAGGCTATGCGTGGTGGAGAGTCAATACTTTTGTATACCAAGGAGTAGGCCTACTACAAAGTACGTAGACGACTATTTGGAAGACATATCTAGACTGTAATCTAATAGAAGAGGCAGGAGATTAAAAGATAATGGGAGGCCAGAATCCTCTTTAGGTTTCAATGGCCACGGAGGGATGATAAGGTACGGTAAGTGATACTATGCAATGGAAGGTGGTTTTGTATGTAGCTCCTGTCCCTGTACTCAAAACCAGTGTGTATGAATCGATCGCCAATCTTACTTAAAGGCTTTTCAAATTACACTATTGCTATTTTATTGTAAAATTGTCAGATTTGAAATTTACAACGTATCTATAAGACGAAAGAAATAGGTGGTCACATGACTTTTGTTTACAAGATGATAATCCCCATTTAAACTGCCAGATTTTTTCTTAATACATGTAAACTAGTTGTTCTGGTTTATATTCAGATTCAATTGACTACTATCCAATCCTGCTCTTATGCCTGCTCTAATGCTAATAATAATTTCTTAAACATCTTACATATTTTAGGCATTAACCTTGTTGTTAAGGATTATTTGTAAAATTACAATCTTCTAAAAATACAATTTTGTAAATAGCTGTATTTTTAAATGGTAGTCTAAATGGACAAGTTACAACTTATTTTTCACCACACTATGATGTTTTTAGCTGTTTTACATACGTTAATTGGTAAATGAAATTGTAAAGTTACGTTTTGCTGGATGCCAGCTGTCATCATCATTTGGGGTTCGAGCAGGTTTTTACATCCCTAGGGCCGTAAAATCAGCTGCCCGCTTACTTTCTTAAAATATGAATTCATATCAAATACACAACCAGTATCCATAGCATTGCAATGGAATTGTTTTATTGTCACGGCTGCCTAGCAACTGTTTATTATTATTTTTGCTGATTTCTCAAATTATTTCTTCACATAACCTTAAAGTTGTACTTGTTGACAGTGTGCATTATTATTGGGGTGAGAAGTGGTAATAGTGAGATGAAAAATAGCGTTCGTACCACGGACTGAAATGGTTTTGCAGCTCTCGATCGTTTTAAATTCTCGACCTCGTCTTAGCTTAAAAACTCCGGGCAAAGCTTCGAGTTAACGGAAGAAAGGTAGTCCTCCTAGTTGAAGCGGTTTTAGTGGTTTTCATCACAGATTTGTTTGTAGGTATGAGGTTTGGCAAGCTGCAAGTGAAGGTGGCTTTAGCTTCTATACTCTCCCTCTACGAACTGTCACCAACCCCTGATACACCCGACAAGCTGGAAATCCATCCACACATCGTCTTCACCACACCCAGACATCCCTTCAGTCTCCGAATCACAAAGAGAACTGATTTATGAGGAAATGTTTCTCAACATTGACGTAATAGTTATATAGACTCAAGTTCAAAACTAGTTTTAGAGTTCAAAAGTAGAATCTCAAAATAAAAAAAAAAGAATTCATCCTGCATATCACACAGTGTTGATTTTACAACTGGAGTAGTTTTCAATTCAACAATAGACAATTTTATTACCAATCTAGATGAATCTCAAACATATATATCAGGCATAATACCATTTATGTCAATAGTTCATAATGTTTGAGGAATAAACATTCGTTTAGACCATAAGTAAAAATATAATTTTAGCTATATTTTATAGCAGAGATTTTTCAAAGAGGAATATTAATATTTGAAACACATTATTGCATATTAAAAACTGGTTTTCTTTGTATATAGCTAATGTAGAAGATAAGTTATATAAATCTTAACATTAAATAAACGTATTTAAATATTAATTTATTTTTCATAAAAATAGAGCTAAACAATTTACAAACAACAAAAATTACTCTATAAGTACAAAGTTGACAAATTAAAATACCCCCGCCGCAGCAAACCTGCCGACTAAGCGAATTTCTATTTGTCTTAATTGATTTTCAATTAAATATATTTTAATAACATTAAGTTTAACGAGTACCTAGGTTTGCTGCTACAAGGAAACTAATAAAGTGTGTTTTTTTGTAAAATATTGATAGCTTAGTACAAAATGAATAAATTTGATCAAAATACAAAATATATCCATAAACAAGCAAACTACAACATATGACAATATTCTCCATAAAAATAACATAGAAATTTTAAATTTACAATTTTTTTAATTTTCTCCGTTACTACTAACCGAACAAAAATACTTTTATATACTAAATTAATTGTTTTTTTAAGCTCTTTAAAAAGGTCTAAAGAGAAATTAGGAAATTTTATGTTTTGAGGGTCAAAAGTGAGAAACCCCAATTTTTACCCCATAAAACCCCCCGTAAAGCCTCGTTCCCATGGTCCGATCATGCTGGTTCGCGAACTCATTCAAGTTTAGCCCGCTTTACACCTTTAAACAAAATTTCATCAAAATCGGACAAAAATTACTCAAGTTATCGCGTTCACGGACGTATATATATATATATATATATAAGTCTATATATATATATATATATATACATATATAAAAATTTGAACGAATGGTGTTTTTGGCCTCTGGGGACATCAAAATGAAAAAGTAAATCGGTCCCGGGCTTAAGCCTTACCATGAGACCTACGGCAATAGCTACTTCCCTATAGGGAAAATCGCTTAAACGAAATAGCGGAATTGACAAAACTAGCCAGATGTAGAGGTGTTGAAGAGCTCCTGTTATTTATAAGCAGAGGGACAAATAGGCTACTATCAAGTTATTATAAGTTAATACGAGGGAAAAAACTGTTACGATAAAAAAAAAAACATTGCAAAGAAAACTTGGTAAATAATTAATAAGAAACAGGAATAGATGCTAGAAAGTATAATAGTTCCAACACTATGTTTAATAAACGGCATCAGCGATCTGATACATACTTTATCCCATTAGCTTGTCAACAACATTTATCATGGGTAAGCGATGAGAGTAACTTAATAATAAATAAAAAAAAATAATAAAAATGCCTTTGTTTATCAAACGTTCTTCAGTTACATACTGCTTTACAGGATAATAGGTAAAATAGAAAAAGTTGCAATTACTTTTGGACCATAATATTTACAGGAATGGATGAGTTGCACTATTTTGTTTAGAATTTTAACGACCATAACAGACGAATTTCAATCAAAACCTGGGGTTCCCCCCCCAAAAAAATTTTAATTTTGTCATGGGTTTTATGGGAAAATAACATAGGTTAAGTTTACAATGACTTTTGAACTGTCATTTTTACAGCAATGGGGGCGTTGCACTTTGTTGTTCAGAATTATAAGGACCATCACATACTAATTTCAATCAAAACCGGGTTTTTTTTCGAAAATACAATTTTATCTTATTTTATGGGTTTTTAATGGGAAAATTACATAAGTTACAATAACTATAAAACCGTATTTTTTACAGGAATTGGAGTTCTACTATTTTGTTCACAATTTAAAGAAATACCACATAATACATTTTTATCAAAATCTGTATTTCCATATCTCTTCCATTATCTATGTATATCTCAGCCATTTCCGAGAAAGTTTTTCCATTATTTTATGGGTGTTTATGGAAAAAAAAAATTATTAGTACCTACATAACAAATTTCATAAAAATCAAACCATAGGTGTAGTCTGCAGCTCTGCGCACATACAGACACACGTACTCACACAGATATCACTTCAAAACCCACTTTTTTGGTCCCTCTGGACTTAAAACGGATATATCCACTCATAACTCAAACTGGAAAATGTTTGATGAAAACAATACTTTCTCCATATACTATGTACAGGGGGGGGGAGTAAAAATTAGAACAATGTTATAAATGATTCCTTAAGGGATTAAAATACTTGATAATTTTACTGGAACCATTGCACATTGCTTCCAAACCCATTATATTTACACTCAGCAACGGGAAAAAAACATGCCTATAAACTCAATAACAAATCATTTCGATGTAATCCAATAACTGAAAATGAAATAAGTAAAATGAAAAAAAAAACGATCTTTACGGTCATTATTAGGTTCTCCTAAAATTGACTAAACAATTAAGAAACTAACAATAAAACTATACATAATCCATAATCAATTATTTGGGTAAAATGAGGTGGTTCAAAGCTACATTGAGTATTTCCGTGGTATTTCCTTAAACGTAGCATTATTTATTTAGCGTATATTGTCTTTAATTTAGATTGATATTTTGGTGTCGTTTTTAAAAAGTTCACTCTGGAGTTGTATGTTTTTTCTTAAAATGACCTTAAAGTACTATATGTTAAGGGATTTGCCCCAGTGGCTCTCAATGCTACGGTTTTAGTCTTATGAAATGGTAATATAAATCAGTTGTGCTCTTTTGTTAGTTATCCTAATTGAATGTATTTTTTCAACATATTTTGTTTTATTGTCATCTCTTAGAATTATTTGTAAAAAACACATCAATCGACATTGTTGGTAATAAATGTTTGTGGATTTGATTGGCTATAAGTGAGACAAACTTGTTCCCTGTATAATCCATCTTCTGACATTCGAATCGAAGAGGACCAATTATAATCCAAACTACAAGAACTAAACAATAAGCTACTTTGATGAATGCAATCAATAAATGCTTTGGTTGGATATATGCTTTTTCTTACTATCAAATTGTTCAAGTTAGCAAAATGTGAATAGGGAGTCAAATAAATTTTTAATCCCTAGAGACAATTGGCTGCAGTATGACGAAAAGTTATATATCTGACCAAACAAAGTATTTATTTAATATTTGGACGCAAATTTCCCTTGCCTATTCTAATTATTGTACAATTATCTTAATAAATTACAATTCATCAAAATAGTACTGCAATGTCAAATGTTCTGTTATTTATTATTTACACGAACATTATTTTACATGCCCCCTCAGTAACTTCGCTAGCTTACTGCCAATTTAGCCCAGTCAAATGGTGTTTGATGTGGAAAGTTCTGGTGTAATTGTTTTTTATAGCTTATTTTATGTTTTTGGGGTTGCTGAACACGAATCTGATGTTTTCCAACAACAATTATTTCGACAAATATGAATTAAAAAATTCTAGTTTTTGGCTTACAACTTTTAAATTATAGGCTAGTAAAATAGGTTTTTGCACATAAATAATTCCTGAAAAGCTGGAGATCATTTTAATCCTTTCTATTTATAAAGAAGTAAAATGATTTGAAGTTTGTCCCACTTTTCGAGGCGAGCTTCTGACCTGGGACCACAAAAACCTTGAAATTCAGGGTTATTTTTTAGTTTTTGTTAAATGTCAAAAAATCGTCTAGCCTACAGAAAAAACAAATCATAAATGAATTGTAGAGCGTAAAATTCCGCATACATTGAGTATCTGGTGATGAAAATCGAACCAATAATAAGTTATTTATAGGTAGTAATTTAAATCAAGTTATTTTATTAAGAAATTATTGAACATTGAATATTTAACATTTATATTACTTCCAGAAAATGGATACCAAGTACATTTTATTTACAAAGTAAATACAAATTACATACCCCCGCCGCAGCAAACCTACAGACTAAGCGAATTTCCATTTGCCTGATTCAATTTACTCTAAAACATCACTTAAAAATATCGCATTTGTTCACCATTTAAATAGCATTTGTTTAACGAGTACTTAGGTTTGCTGCAACAGGGAGGGTTAAAAAGTTTTTTAACTGTTAATAGTTTGGTATGAACTGAATACATTTTCCACTTTTTATCAAAATATGTTCATAACAAGCAAAATATAACAGTTTACTATTCCCCATAAAAATAACATGGGAATTTTAAATGTATTTTTTTTCTCCGTTGGTGCACTATTTGGTGCATAATAAAGCTTCAAAATATTAAATTATTTGTTTTTTTAAGCTCTACAAAATTGTTTGGGAGAAATTGCAGAATTGTATGCTTTTAGGGTCAGAAAAACTTATTTTTACCCCCATATAACCCCACCAAAATCCCCGTTCCCATAGTCTGATCATGCTGGCTCGCGAACTTATCCGAATAAATGTAGAGTTACAAGTTTATAACAAATTTCATCAAAATCTGATCATTTTTTCTCAAGTTATCGTGCTAACGGACACTTATATAAAAATTTAAAATATATATATAACGGGGGGGGGGTGAGGCACCGACAGGCGTCTACTTGTTGCTCACCGTAGACGGCCACAGCCCGCTACTGTAGTGTAGACTGTAGACGTCAGTACTTGCATGCTATGCATTCATTCATCGTCATCTACATGTATGTTGCCAAAAAAGTTACATTTAATGAACAACGTAATCCTGGAAGAGAAACGATCAGTGGTGTATGAGACGAATAAATATCTCCCTCCACATTCCTTTTTGCAGAAACAATTAAGATCTTGTTCCCGAAATAAGGTTTTTCTTAAAAGACTGTTCCTCAAGAAGAAGCGTGGGGATAGAAGTAAATGGATAAAGAATGCCTTAGCAATTACACACAGTATCATTAGCGCTGTCAGACCTCCTTCTTTTTTTGTCCCCTAAGTAACTAGGGTTATCAACTTTCTTAAAAAAAGTTTGGGTCGAGAAAATGTATTAATATTATCTCATCTTTAGGATCTCGCCTCTTATTCAGGCCGTTCGACTGGAAGTGTGCGTAATTATGAGACCAGCTTTCCAAATAGACTCCACGGCATTTCATCAGTTTGTTTACGACAATGCTGATTTTAATACTCGTACGTTGGATGGATATTTCTATGCATGGAGGGGGGATACATCTGATAACACGAAAAAGTGCTATTGCTCCAGATCAGAAAATAGACAGACTTAAAAGTATTTTACCCGCTCATGAAGTTGGGGAGAAGGGGAGTTTGTTTCTTTAAAACGTTTTGAAAAAGGAAATTCTCATGGGCTACAAGATATATAACAGTTGTGGATCTCAGCAACTTATATACTTCAAAGGATAATGACAAATCCTCTGTTGTGGATTTGATGTGGATTTTCAGCAAGTGGAAGATGTGTCCAACATTTAAGGATGGGGTGGATTCATGAAACAAACGACAAATAATCTCCCTTTTCAAACATCGTTTGTAGTTTGCTTGCCTTTTATTAATGCCCCACCATCTGATTACAACATAATATACACGGCACTACTAACTTCAGTGGAACCGTGCAAACCTGTGAATCAACAAGCAACTGTGTACACTTTTGACCAATAAGTAGTTAGTCTACAAAGTGATTATTATTTTGACAATGTCATTATCAGAATAGGTGGGTTTCACCTACTTATGTCCTTTCTGAAGACAATAATATGCACTGCTTTCAATAGAGATTCTGACTGGACATGCCTATTCAAGAGCAGATAGAGCACATATTATATAGCCCATGCATGCTTGGCAAAACTTATTTTCAATACAATGGATTTGACGGATTTGACCTTTAAGAAGGAC